CTATCCTTGTTTTAGGAGAAGTCTCTCAGAATTCCATGAGTCGTAAAAATCACTTCAAACAGGTGAATGTTGGACATAATAAAGGAAGGCTTATACCATCCAATTTGAATACCTTCCTCCTTACACCACCCCCCTCACTCCTCCCTTTCTAGGGGGTCCATCTCACAAGAGGGTGCTAAGAACACAAATACAAACTGTTACAGGCAGGAGCAATAGAGGAGGTCCTAGAAAAGTTCTGGAACCAAGGGGTTCATTACAATTATTTCTGATTCCAAAGAAAAAGACCAATCCTAGAGCTGGACAGTATGTTCAAAATCATCACCATTCCCCCCAAAAAGCCACTAGCCTCTCTAATATAGTGGTTGAGCCTAGAGAATGCTCTCAGAGGAGTATCATTCTACCTCCCCCACTCTCCTGCAATAGCTACATCAAATGTATCCAAGAAGGGATGGGGGAGGGGTATCTCAATCTATTCAAGGTCTCTGGCGTTCTCAAGAGTCACACTTGCACATGAATGTTAGAACTGAAGGCCATCTTTCTGGCCGTCAAGTCATTCCTCCTACAAGTACAGGACAGGATGGTTCAAGTCACCACAGAAATATATCAGCAATGTAGTATGTGAACCAATAGGGAGGCACACGTTCGTCTCAGCTTTGCAAGGAGGCCAGAAAGCTATGGAATTGGTGTATTCTACACAGTCTCTGATCGCCCTGAATGTAGTGGGAACTCACAAGCAGATCATGAGCAAGCTGAACAGAGATTAGACTAAGATGCTTGAGTGCTTAGTAAAGGACTCAGTAGTTCAGGACATTTTCAGCCTTTGCGACTTTCTGGACATGGATATTTTTGCACCAGGTTCAATACAAAATTCCTTTGTTTTTGTTCAAGTGACAGACGCCTTTCTTCTCTGCTGGGGGACCAATTTACTGTATGTTTCCTCCTTTCCCACTAGTGTTAAAGGTAGTGAAAAAAATCTATCAAACTTGGCCAAAATTATGCAAGTTGCTCTGGCATGGCTGAGACCGCAATGGTAGACGCACCTAATTCTTCTTTCCAAGGGGAAATGCAAACTTCTACCAGTAACACCAGCCCTATTGTCCTAGCAGAGAGGGAGAGTTCTCTATCTAGCTCTCCAATTGTTACATCTAACTGCTTTGGGCAATAGGACTTTAACAGATCTAGAAAGATCTTGCTCTGTAGAAGTGCAGCATGTCCTAATTCTAGGAAACAGTCAATTAGAAAATGTTAGGATTTTAAATGGAAAATATGTCTGATAAGGCTATTGATCCAGTATTTGCTCCAATTCAATGTATTTTAGAATATCTAGTACACCTAAAATGTGTGGGTTTGTGTCTTTCTTTGCTTAAGGTCCATCTTGTGGAAATAGCCGCCTTTCATAATCCTACTGATGGTAAATCTATCTTTTTCACTTGACTCTGTTTTAAAAACCTTTTAAAGGGTTTTTGATCTTCTGTCCATCATTAAGAAATCCAGTTCCTCCATGGTTATCTAAATTTGGCATTAATACATTTTATGACTATACATTTAGACATTTAGGTGTGGTATACCTAGACTTTAGTAAGGCATTTGATACGGTCTCGCATGATATTCTTATCGACAAACTGGGCAAATACAATTTAGATGGGGCTACTATAAGGTGGGTGCATAACTGGCTGGATAACCGTACTCAGAGAGTTGTTATTAATGGTTCCCAATCCTGCTGGAAAGGCATAACGAGTGGGGTTCCGCAGGGGTCTGTTTTGGGACCGGCTCTGTTCAATATCTTCATTAACTACTTAGATATTGGCATAGAAAGTACGCTTATTAAGTTTGCGGATGATACCAAACTGGGAGGGATAGCAACTGCTTTGGAGGACAGGGTCATAATGATCTGGACAAATTGGAGAAATGGTCTGAGTTAAACAGGATGAAGTTTAACAAAGACAAATCCAAAGTGCTCCACTTAGGAAGGAAAAATCAGTTTCACACATACAGAATGGGAAGAGACTGTCTAGGAAGGAGTACGGCAGAAAGGGATCTAGGGGTTATAGTGGACCACAAGCTAAATATGAGTCAACAGTGTGATGCTGTTGCAAAAAAAGCAAACATGATTCTGGGATGTATTAACAGGTGTGTTGTGAGCAAGACACGAGAAGTCATTCTTCCGCTCTACTCTGCTCTGGTTAGGCCTCAGCTGGAGTATTGTGTCCAGTTCTGGGTACCACATTTCAAGAAAGATGTGGAGAAATTCGAAAGGGTCCAGAGAAGAGCAACAAGAATGATTAAAGGTCTTGAGAACATGACCTATGAAGGAAGGCTGAAAGAATTGTTTGTTTAGTTTGGAAAAGAGAAGACTGAGAGGGGACATGATAGCAGTTTTCAGGTATCTAAAAGGGTGTCATAAGGAGGAGGGAGAAAACTTGTTCACCTTAGCCTCTGAGGATAGAACAAGAAGCAATGGGCTTAAACTGCATCAAGGGAGGTCTAGGTTGGACATTAGGAAAAAGTTCCTAACTGTCAGGGTGGTTAAACACTGGAATAAATTGCCTAGGGAGGTTGTGGAATCTCCATCTCTGGAGATATTTAAGAGTAGGTTAGATAAATGTCTATCAGGGATGGTCTAGACAGTATTTGGTCCTGCCATGCGGGCAGGGGACTGGACTCGATGACCTCTCGAGGTCCCTTCCAGTCCTAGAATCTATGAATCTCTCAAATTGTTCATTGTTTCATCTCTCCATTAAAAACAGCCTTTATAATAGCAATCTCTTCAGCTAGAATAATTAGTTAATTGTAGGCCTTGATGGCTGACCCTCCTCTTACAATTTTCTGTAAAGACAAGGAGGCACTTAAGCTTCACCCCATATTTCTCCCTAAACTAATAGATCGGTTAACATGAAAATCCGTTTCTCTCCTCCTCCCCTAACCTCATGTTGATACGTGAATCTGGATTGCATTATTTAGATTTTAAAATCTCCTTATTTTACTGTCTAGACAGGACTTAGGAGTTTAGGGTTTTCCCCAAAACTGTTCACTTACTGTCTGAAAATTGCAAACGCCTCACTTTTTCTGTGCAGACATTGTCTAGATTGGTTAGACAGAATATAAACTTATAAGGAATCTTCTCTCTCCAGCATTGGGTCTCAGAACTATCTCTACTAAAGCAGTTCCTACCTCTGTAGTGTATGTTAGATATGATCCCCTTATTGAGATATATAAAGCTGCCACTTTGGGGTTCAATTCACGCTTTCACTAAATTTTATGCTTTTAGATTTATCTGATCGATCTGATGCTCAGTTTGGCAGGGCAATGTTTCAATCTCTATTTAATTAGGACCTTGTGTCCCTCCATCCTTTGTTGAATATTGCTTGTCAACCCCAAGAGTGGGAATATGCAGAGGACATTCAAAGAAGGAATGAAGGTAACCGGAGTTCTTCCAGATGGACTCTGCATATTCATGCTCTCCACCGACCTTCCCCTCTTCTGCAGAGTCCTAACTAAGTGATACTACTGTACTCTGCACTAGTTGTGGGGGAAACTGAGCAAGTGCTCAACACCAGGCTCCTTTTTATAGCCACACCCTTACAACATGCTTGAACACTGAGGGGACTAGTAGGAGGGGCATGTGGGCACTCACCGGCCGTACTACCAGAAAGTTCCATCACAGAGGGGCGGGATAGCTCAGTGGTTTGAGCATTGGCCTGCTAAACCTAGGGTTGAGTTCAGCCCTTAAGGGGGCCATTTAAGGATCTGGGGCAAAAATCTGTCTGGGGATTGGTCCTGCTTTGAGCAGCAGGTTGGACTAAATGACCTCCTGAGGTCCCTTCCAACCCTGGTATTCTATGATGGCACATCACAAAAGTGAATATGCAGAGTCAGTTTCAGAGAAATTGGGTTACAAGTGAGTAACCTTCATGTATAACAACAAAAAAGACACAAAGTTAATGCCTTCAGGATAAATGTTATGGGAATTGAAATAAATTGGAGCAGTAAACTGGATGTTTGATAGATGACTCTATTGACCTGAACAGACTTAATCTTGTCTGACTTCTAAAAGTAAACCAGTCTGAGTCTGGCTAATGTTTAAATGGATGACTGAGAACTGTTGCTGTTCTAGACTTGTTGCTGCTTTGTGATAGCAATGGCTACTCTTAATTATTTTGTCTTGCCTATGAACAATGTGAAGTGTTCTGAATGGTCTTTGAATGAAAATTACAATCTCTAGCCTATGATCTTGGTCAGCATGAAATATGACAAGATTAGGATGGAAAAGTCCATGGGTAATTATGTGCACCAGACTATATATGTTAACTTGAGAAACATTCTATGATCTTTGAGATGGGAAAGAATTGCAATCTGCCTTGATAGGAGGGATCTCAGATAGTGCTGATCCAAAACTGGCAAAGCTTTCACAAAATTTCATGAGAAAATTCTTTCTAGGCCTCTGTCAAAATGTTGACCAGCTCTAGTCTCTGAGCAGGACCTGAAATCCTGTGAAGTCAGGGAGATGAGTTGCTGAATCTGGCTACAAGTGCTTTCCTTCCCTGGCATGACTGGGGTCTGAGGAAGGCTGCCTGGAAAACACTGATGAAAATGCTCATTGACTAAAGCAGCTACAAATACACTGTCAACACTTGTCTGTGTTCTTCATGTGATGTGGTTCAGGCCCATCAGCCCCCAAGTCTTGAAAAGGAAGGCAAATTTTAAAGGCTTCCCTCTCCAGCTGCCAGAACAGTGCAAAATGAACATAGCCAAAGAGCACTCTGGTTCTGCAAATTGGCAGTATGAATGGGGCCTTCAGTATATCTTACTGTGAGAGAAGGGCAACTGGAATCAAATATCTTTTTGGCTTATAAATATGAATAAGTAGACATAATAAGTATAATCTGTAAAGTTTGAGTTGTAACCAGTTTTGGAAATCTTTTCTAGAGCTCTAAGTTTGGAAGGAAACATACTTGCACACTTTAAAAATAAAGGCTAACTTTAAAATGTATCTATTCTAGGACGTGGTATTTATTCCAATGTGCTGGGATTTCTTGGTGGTGTTTCCTGGGCGATGCTGGTAGCAAGAACATGTCAGCTCTATCCAAATGCATTGGCATCTACTCTAATTCACAAATTCTTCCTAATTTTTTCAAAATGGTAAGTTTAAACACTTCTCATAGTAAAAACAAAAAAAATTAGCGAAGCATTGTCTTGTCAAACTAGTTCTACACTTAATTAGACTTAAGCTAAATTGTCTTCATTTTGTGTAATTTAAAAAAAATTACTTTTAAATGGACAAAACTATACATGATAGTCATTCTTTGGTCTCTTGTACAGGGAATGGCCAAATCCTGTGTTGCTCAAACAACCTGAAGATAGCAATCTAAATTTGCCAGTGTGGGACCCTAGGGTATGTAGATGATGTATTTTCTTACTTACCGGTAATTTATAATCACTTTAAACATACTAATTGAACCATTTGAATGCCATAGGTAAACCCATCTGACAGATATCATCTAATGCCCATAATCACGCCAGCCTATCCACAGCAGAACTCTACGTATAATGTGTCTACTTCAACACGAGCAGTAATGGTAGAGGAGTTCAAGCAAGGTAAGGCATTTCAAACCTCTTCATACTTTTTACATGATATAAGAAAGACCCATAATAAATAGATGCCAAGTAAAAATTTGTTCAGTCTCTTCCCTTAGAAGAAAACACATTTACATGTTAAACAATTATATTCTGTGAGAACCAATCCTGCACTGGCGGGAGGATGGAAGAGATGAGCTAAGTCTCTTCTGTTTCTCACTTCTAGGAATCAGTTTGGACTAGCATGGTGATGCAGAGGGTCAACTTTCCAAAATGTATTGAGATTACGGTAGTAGGTGACCCAGTTCTGTGCAGTGGCAGGAATTCACATTTGTTCTATCCTTTAGTTAACAGTGCAGGATGATAATTACTAGCTTTCATATAGTTTGTTTGTTTGTTTGTTTTCATTGATAGATCTCAGAGGACTTGGTATCCAAGATCTGGGTAGAAATTTAATGTGCTTACCTAGTTAGGTTAACTGTCTACAAAAATAAAACATAGCAAGCTTTTTTTAAACATAGGTCTTGCTGTCACAGATGAAATTCTCCAAGGAAAATCAGACTGGCCAAAACTCCTTGAACCACCAAACTTTTTTCAAAAGTACAAGTATGTATGAATCCATTGTCTGTTTGAAATATTTTGAACTACAATGCAATTGGAATAAATTTTTTGCTCTGATTTAAAAAAAAAAAAAAAAAAAAAAAGGAAATATTTTCCAGGTTAGTACAACTACCATAATTTGCTGTTTGCCTGTAGGGACTTCATTTTCTCCCATCCCTATTCTGCCCAATGAATTAGAATGCAGTAAAAGTAAAATGCAAACTATTCTTCAGTGAAAGAACCTGTAACTTTTATACTATGCAGAAATGTTTTCAGTACCTCTAAATGTGGCTTGAAAATAGTTTGAAGAAAAGGGGATTGGAAGAGGCTTATTTCCATTTAGGCTGAAATAACTGAACCATTCCCCACATTTATCCTAAACCTATGAAGAAGCATTACTTAATTCACCCTAAAGAGCATAACTTCTAGCTTATGGTGTCATGTAGAGTACAGGCACTACACATGTAGCTACATGTGGCAGTGAAAGGCTCCGGCAGCGGGGAAGGGCTCCGGCAGGGGGGACACTAAGCAGCTAAAAATAATGTAGATGTGGAAACACTGTGTGGGTGTGAGAGCCTACCATAGGGCTTCAGGTGTGTAGAACATTTACTCTACTAAGCCATACCCATGCTAGCAGGGCAAGCAGTGTCTTTACATATGTACAGGTATGTACGTATGTCTCTACATACCGCCATAAGTGTGTAGATGTACCCCCAGACACATAGGTACCTATCCCAAAGAGAGAACGCATTGGTTGTACATAACTAGAGTTCTTTTAAGAGCCATCCTAGAACAGTTAAAATATTCCATTGGTTTGGAGAGATTAAACTTTCAAACTGTAATAATGTTTTAGGATTGTTCCTTTGTTAAAATATAGTATAATGCTAGATGATGGGTGGTTAAGCAGTAAGGTATAATAATACATTAATGAACTAATAAAAGAGTAAATTGCAAGTGTATGTTTTGGGTTCAGTGGAATGTGATCTTTCAATCTGTTTTCAGTTACACAACTACCCAGTGTAGATTTATTTTTCATAGTTCTGGGAAAGTATGATCCAGGACTTCTTTCATGTCAAGAAGTCTTGGAATTGTTGGTGAGTTTTCTATTCTGAGTTTGACGACAAAGCTCTCTGATCCCAGAGACGGGCTAAATATTTTAATATTTTTCAGGCATTATATTGTGTTGACTGCTAGTGCCTCTACTGAAGAGCATCATTTAGAATGGTAAGTCATTCTTAAACATGGGTTTATTCTTTTTAATTTGAAATGTGGTTTAGAATTGGATTTTCTTCATGTAATGGGGGAAATGGCGGAGCACTAAACTCTCCTTTGCCTAAAACTATACAACTTGGAATTAACTATGGTAGTGTATTTGAACACACAGGTGTGGATGCTAAATGTGGAAAAGCTTTCTATAATTTTCTTGGAAAAGGTAGATAAGTGTTAAACCTCCAACCTTCTGGGGTAGTTTCTCAAAACACCACAAGCAATGATGGGCGCTAGTAAGATGAAACAATATCTGCGGTTTAAGTGCTGCCCGACTGTTTGGCAGTATGCAAGAAGAAGACATGCTATCCGCACCAGATAACTTGCAATTAAAACACACAGTGGAGAGCAATAATGCATCAAGTGACCAATTTAATCCTAAAACTAACCATTTTTAATGTTAGTGATAAATTTTGGCTGATCAGTATTAGTGGCCTGTGGAGAAGTTTGATTGAGGAATTTGAAAGATGATAAAGGATTGGGACATAGACGATATGTGAAAGCATACAGCGAAAAATGTTTGTGTTTTTCTGTTTTTGTTTTTGGCCCTGGGTAAACCTTGCTCCTATCTAAAAAGCTCCATCGGTATGGTGACTCTGAACCAAGTGGGGGAGTGTTTGGTGGTGTAGTCCTCTTATGTTATGCAGCTGTATGGTCACTGCTCTGAAATTGGCTCTTCAATTAATATCTTTCCAAATGCACAATTTCTCTTATTACTTTCTTCTGAATTGCAAGTGTATGCTGGAGTTTACAAGTAAGCTTCGGTTTCAAAAATAATTTTTCAGTAGTTATAGTATCAACATATCACATGATTTGTTCTTATAGGGACTTGTGTTTCAGTAATCAACCATTTCTCTGAGATCTAAATATGGGATCATACTTCTGAGGCTGAGAATTTAAACACTGACATGGTGATAGACTTTTTCCTATATTAGCCAACAGCATTGCCTTCAAATCAAGCTCCTTTCTATTCAGTGCTAAAAGCAGTCAGGATTCAAAAACAGTTGTGTAGCCATAAGCTTTTAATAGGCTGCAGAACACTAGCAGCTTTAAACTAATCTACAGGACTCATTGTGAGAACACTATATCAGAATAGCAATTCAGGAAAAAATTGGTTGGCACCAATTGCTATATTCTAACCTATTTCTATTTGTTCTAATGAAGTGTGGTGTGACAAAGTTCGGTCCTTGACTCCGTGGGTCCTGCGTTTCCTGACGGATTTTTGCTAGCCTCAGAGGCTCACTGTGACCCTCCACATAGCCCTTCTCTCTCTAGAAGCAAGGGTCACAGTCTACTGAGCCATTTTCATCATAAGCCAGCAAGGGAGGTGAGGAGAAACAACCCTCCCTCACACAGTCTCTGTTGTCTCCCAGTATCAGTGATTAATCAGGGAGGGGAAGGGGGAGCCCGGGCCCACCCTCTACTCCGGGCTCCAGCCCAGGGACCCTAAACTTAGCAGCTATGAAAGCTGACTTTTTGGAAACAGGGCATGTACAATTCCCTGGACTACTTCCCCACAGCAGCCCCCACTCAATAACTTCTTCACAATTACCTCAGGGCCTCCTTCCTTGCACCTGATATGGATTCGTACTACTTCGTTCCTCCAACAGCACAGCTCCCTCCTATAGCTCCTGGCACCCACACCACACTGACTAACTGGGAGGCTTTTAACTAGTTCCAGCCAGTCCTTGATTGGCTTCAGGTGTCCCAATCAATCTAGCTGTCTCTCCTGCCTTCTAGAAGGATCTTAATTGGCCCCAGGTGTCTTGATTACCCTGGAGCAACTGCCATTTGGTTACCATGGTACCAGGGATTTGTTTAGCCTGGGGCTAACATACCTGTTCCTCACTACTTTACTGTAGCCATCTGGCCTTGGCCCATCACAGTGGTTATAATAGTTTATTTACCTTATGTAGCAACACCAGGTAATAGGTACATATTTCAAAATATCCTCCTATTTGTTCTGTAACTAACAATCCAAATGTGCTCATTTCAATCAAACAATGCCATATTTAATACCAATAATTTTTAAGCCAAAACTATGTATTATTTCATAATAGCCTATGTTAAGCATTAGTTTTGTTTCTGAAATGAAGTGCTTAACTGTGTTAGAGTTAATGGGGGCACCCTGCTAGAAACTCCATACTTAGGGTTCTGTTTCAAAAAGGAGCATAAATCTCTGTTACTGCTCTAAAAATAAGTGGCTTTTTGATGCAAAACTGATTTTTTTTAGGCCCTTTGATTTTTCTGTGCAGCCTTAGCTTTTTCTAATTTTAATAGGAAGGATTTGAAATTTGGCTCTCGTTTTCCTTGGCAGTCTGACCATCCACTGGCAGCTTTCTCTTTATAAAATGTATGTATGTTCGCACGCACACACGGCAAAACAGTACAGTATGTACCACCATTCATTCATTCACTCGGATGCTGCTCCCCTCAACCTTCCCTTCACACACTCCTCTACCAAATGACCCTGTCCTAGTGATGTTAGTTGTGATGCACTGGGAGGGGATAACTCAGAGGTGATGAAAGGCTGGCATCTGTAGGGGACAGAGTTAAGTTTGTAGTGTAAATAATTGTGGTAATGATAAGGTGTCTGGGTATAAAAGAGGACATGTACTGTTGAGTTGGCATATCCATTTCTGTTTTTGTGGATTTGAGTCAAGTATGAGTGTAGCAACCCTAACTGTTGCACATTTTGTGTGTGTGTGTGTGTGTGTGTGTGTGTGTGTGTGTGTGTTGATACAGGCAGGAGTAATCTACAACGCGCTATATAAATGCAGTTCACATGCTTGTCGCAGTTCCAATAAAATATTGTTTTAACTGAACTAATAGTTGTCACAGGTGGCTACACGAGCAAAATCCATCTGTAAAACATGGCTGTTCTGAGGATATAACTTATGCTATGTTGATTAACAGTATAACTGATTGTTTCACTATACTTTTGGTTCATTATGAAAAATGTTCAAGCCCAAATAATCAAATGTAACCAAAATTTATGGCCTATAGACACAAAATGCAATACAAAAAGGAGACATACATACCCACCTTTCAGGAAGCAATTCTTACCTTCCAGCATGTTCACCTTATGCAGTAAGTGTGTGTTGAAGAGGCACCTCCAAAATTACCTCCATTTATATCATGACTGTTTACAAGTTTTAAAAGCACTTTATACGTCACCTACAATCCAGCCCACCAGTTCCTTAACATGTTGTTCTGTACTTTTCATTACCTCTGTTTTGGAAACCACATTCCAAACCAGTTGGACTTAGAACAGGTTGGGATTTACCTGTAGGACACACCATTTGCGTAATTTGGCTTTGACAGGCTTCTTCTTTTCTAATGCCAAAGCTGACTTCAGCTTTGCAGTCTTGCAGGATACTTGACATGGGTGACAGAATTGTGGGAAGAGTATAATACATCCAATTAACATAACTTACCAATACCTACACATATTAACGCTGTGTACGTAATACTAATTAATGTAGCGTACACTATCGCTAACAACTGTTACCATACACTTAGGGAGTTTCTTTTGACATGATCCATGTATCTTTTTAATTGTAGCATGATTGATAACTAATTATGTTACAGTTCTAATGTATAATGAAACAATTATTTATGAACAATAACATTCTAAGGAACAAGGAAATAAATAAATTATATATATATATAATATTTTTAAATCACTCTTTATGTAATAAAGCAACATAAGGACAAGTTTGGTCTTTTTCCTGTTCTTAACACTTCTTTACATGATACCATGAATTTAATTGTTTGACTTTTTAAACTTACTGGTTTATGCAATAGTTATGCTAAAGTACTAAAGAAAAGGGGGGGAATAGTTTGTCATTGTGTACAGAAAGAGATGTCAAGTCTTTCTTCCTTTTGTTTGTCTTCCACACTGCCATAAGAGTTTTTAAATTATATTTTCCTAGTCAAACAATTTTCAGGTGGATTCAGGGGTCAATACAGTACCTGAATTCTTTGAAATTTATGGAATTGACTAGAAATTTCAATTTTTTTTTAAACTGGCTTCAGGTTAACAGCATTCCTTTAAGTAACTGAGGAAAACACACTACTGTTCAGGTCTTCAAAATAATGTTAAGTGTGTTCCAGAATAACTTGGAATATTCTGCCCTTATCCTCCTTACAGACTTTCCTCTTGGTTTGGAGAGGAAGGCATTCTCCCTACACTTTCACAAGGATGGACCGCTAGAGCTAATTGGGGAAAATGCCAACAAACTGTTTTGTTGGCAAAATCTAAACATTTTGGTTAGATTTAGGCAAGATTCTGATTGGACCCAGGAGAAGCTCCGACAGAACCTAAGTATACCACTCCTTTTCCTTTTACGGGGAATTCTGCATTTTTTGCTTACCTTCCAAATCAGAACAAGATCACATTTCAAAATGTCTAAATACTTCAGAAACAGAACTATCTTTCTCTACTTAGCTCTAGCAAGAACTCTGCTCTTCCAGCTAAAAAGCTCTGAAGTGCAGTTTTCAAAACACAATCCGCCCATGACATCTCACGCTACAAACTAAAGTACCTTTCCAAGCATAGTTTGCTTCAAACTGACTTTCCTGCCTACCTACAATCCAACCAATGTTAGAACTTGCAACCTAGTATCTTGATCCTACAACCCCTTGATGTCATAGACTAGAATGGTAAGGGCTGTATTTTAACTCCTTTAGAGGATGATGGTTATCATGAACTTGTCACAAGTTTTTTTCAGTCTTGTAAAGCAATATTTATTGTCTAAAGGGAACTTCCTCTAGTCCTAATTAAAGTGAACATAAATTTTGAGATCCAGCCTTGGGTGGTTGTATTTAAATCCCACTGAGCTACCTGTCATATTGGGTTGATTGGACTGGTGTCTTACACTTTTTAAACTCTAACTAGTAGCTCAAACTATTGTATTGTACCTGATTCAGTAAAACCAAACTAACCTAACACTTGATGTTTTTATTAGGGTTGGTCTAGTTGAATCTAAAATTCGCGTACTTGTTGGGAACTTGGAAAGGAATGAATTTATAAACCTTGCACACGTTAATCCTCAGTCTTTCCCTGTCAACAAGGAACATTGCAAAGAGTAAGTTAAGTTTCTTTTTATTTTTTAAGTTTAAGAATGTGGTAGTTTGGTCACTGTTAAAATTAAATTGAAATCTGCTAGTCTTCAGTCCTTCTAGGTATCTTGTAAGAATGCATGTTGAGCAGGGCCAGCTCTAGGTTTTTTTGCTGCTTAAAAAAAAAAACAAAAAACCTCCGGGAGCGCAACTGCTGAAGCGCCCCCCCCGCCCCCCAAAAAGTGGCCGGAATGCCGCCCCTGAAATTGTTCCGCCCCAAGCACGTGCTTGGTTTGCTGGTACCTAGAGCCAGCCCTGATGTTGAGGTATTCCAAGCTAGTCAAACATTGCTCCACAGCTGTGTATCTTCAAGAAAAGGCAATCTAAACATGTCATAACATTTAAGAATGAGTGAAATATTGTACCTCTGACTAGTATACGAAAACACATAAGTACTAAAGTACAGATTAAATCTGAAACTCTAATATTAATGAACAGCTAAATGATGGAGATTATTTTATTTAATCCACTTCCTGAAGGTCAATTGGAAACATCCAAATAGAACTGACATTGACACACAAATGAGACACATCTGATTTTTTTTTATTTATTTATTTTTAAAGGGGCAACTATGTATCAATGTGGTTCCTTGGAATAATTTTTAGGAAAATGGAAAATGCAGAAAGTGTTAACATTGACTTAACATATGATATACAATCATTCACAGATACAGGTAAGCTTATATTTCACTTTAGTCTTGGTATGGTTTTTAATTTGACTCTTACAAGATTGTCTAAATAGCTAATATAATCAATAAACTCTTTCCAAACTCTGCCTCCTCCAGGGTAGTTATGGTGAAGTTCTAGGCACAGAGCATGTGGAGGTTTAATTTTAAAATAGTAAACTTCCTATTTTGACCACAAAACAGATATCTATCTTGGACGTGTACCTGCTATAGCCATACAATAAGTGAGAAGGAGCATTACTTGTCAGATACACAAACCATATTAGGAACATGGTGAAGAGACTCTGAGTTGAAGCACTCTATACCATAGTCTCTTACTCTAAAGAGTTCTGCTAGACTTGTAAACATGACACTGTTTACATCCATCATATTTCATTTTTTTTTTTTTAGTGGCAGAAAAATCAGTAACATCAGAGCTACCTGTAAAACAATTAAAATACACATTCTGTCCATGTAGCACAGTGGTAATGAGGGAAGAACTAAAACTCAAGCAGCACAGTAGATGTGTGAACCTCTTCTCTGGCATAGTGGGCACAGCTGGCTAAGTGATGTTAACCCTGCACTTGCTAGGCCAAAGGCAGCAAAGCTGGCACCAGTGATTTGAAATAGATGCCTGTGAAGGCATCATACGTATGGAAGTCAAAAAGGGGCATGAAGTTTGGGAACCCATACTTAAGACCATCAGAACAGTCTTGCTGTATGTAATTTGTAATAGGAATTGTCAAGAGTAGCAACCAAGAACTTAAAACCCAAAATTTTTATACGATTGATAGTTCTGAACTAACTCCCATCTGAGTGTTAAAACTAGATTGAACATCAGAGAACATATTGTCATGGACACTTCTACATTGGTAAAGGCATGAATACTCTTCTCAAGATTTGAGTATGGAGTTATTCTAATGTTACAAACACACAACCTTTAGCTACCTTGAGCATCAGGTTATCAACTCTTCCCTTCCCTTTCATTTGTGATGTGTTGGAGCTACTGAAGTGTAGATCTGAATTTAATCCCATAATATTTTACTTGGTATTGTTACAAGTAATCCCCAAGGCTACTATAACTGAAAAATAAGATTTTTTTTTTGTTTTGTTTTGTTTAGTTTGATCATTTGACAGCAATCTGGCTCGTTGCTCTTTGGCTTACAGTTTCTCATTGTTATTGGAGCTATGGTGAACTTATTGCCTTGAGTGCATGGGACTGGACTAGATGACCTCTTGAGGTCCCTTACAGTTCTATGATTCTATCTGAAAAGTTAAGTTAAATTTCCACATGGGCATCTGATGGGTAATGAAAAAGTGCTTGTTAGACTTCAGTTGTAAATGAGGTGGCAGTGGTGCTTGGATAATATGGTAACTTCTAAAAGTTGCTCAGGGCAAGAGTCATTGAGAGCTAAAGCAGTTGAGAAGCTTGAAGAAATCTGGCATACAAATGTGTAAGCATTTGAAAAACTTTGTGTGGAAGCCCAGTATGCTAGTTTGTTAGACTTAGGAGTGGACTGTCTGATACTTACACTGCAAAAACTTTGTGCATGTATATATTTGAATGTCAACTGTCTTATTTAACCTTTAAAACTTTAATAGTGCATGGATGTATTTTTTTTCTTGCATTTAAGTTGTTATAACGCATTTATGGATGCAGTTATGGATGTTTTTGTGTGCAACTCTGTTACCAGACACCTGTTTGAAGTCATTTAGGCAAATTTTCTAAACAAATTGTACCATTTTAACGATAACCAGTATAGTTCAACACCTAAACTGGTATAACTGCATCCACAGTAGAAATTTGCTTTATATGATACAGCTTATTCCTTGCTTACCCAAGCTCTGCCTTGAGGCACAGGCTTTCCTAATCAGGGGGAGGGGATATACAGAAACCCTGTGTTTAGGTAAGCCCTTGGTCTTTTCTATTGATTTGAAATCAATATAGCTAAATTGGTGCAGCCCACTAGTGTGTATGCAGTTATACCCATGAAAAGGGGCTTACGTTGGTAAATAAGCTATACGTAAACTTACCAATAGTAACACCTTTATACTAATAGTACATAGTTAAATTGGTACATAAACCCACTGATTTAGATTTAAATGGGGGGTTTTGAGTGGAGCAGGGTGAAAGATCAATTGAAGCCCAGGATCTTTTAATTAATTCTAGTATCCCACATGCTCTTGGCTGCCTACTGAACAACTAACTTAAACTTAAATTGCTACACATCAGTTAAACAAATGCAGAATATAAAGTCCAATAAGTAAACCCTTAAGACTAAACATCCACAAAAGTGATGCCCAGTATTAAACTTTGAATCAGTAAGAGTAAGGGTGGTATCACTGTACTTGGTTTATAGGGGATGGAAACTGAAGATGCTCTCTTAAAGGGATACCATCAAAAAAGATGTGCCTAATTTTAACTTACATTATCAGTTCTATTTTGTCTCTACCTCTGCTTTGCCTGTCTGCTCAATTTGTGGGCAGTCATGCTAGTAAAACACAATAAACTGCCTCAAGCTTTTTTGTCTGCATTTTTAGATTTAAGTATTTGATCTGCAAATTACGCATATTTGAATCCATCAATTACCCAACACTGTTTGCAGAGGCTAAAGTTAACTGAACTTTTAGTCCAGTGAATCAAACAGGGAATTAAATTTAAGATTTAAAAAAAAATACATTCCTCCTACTTTCCACCATTGTTTACAACCTTTTTAAGCAGCACAGACACCTGTAATTAGTTGTTTTAAAGAGGTATCTTTTAAACGAAGTTAAAATTACTACAGGATGGTGACGGACTACAAATATCAAATGGACCAGGTTGGTTATGAAATGTAAAGTAAAATGAGCTTCCCAGCATACAGTTCCCCCATTTTTATCAACTGGCATGAATTTGGAAACTCTCCTGTAACCTTCTGTTATTGTAGCTTTAGTTTAAATGAGCTTCAACATATTATTGACAAATATTCCAATATGATATGTTTAGTGTAAAAACACTTAATGAAGGCCTGCTGTTGGCTTCTTCATTCAGAAACATAATTTTACAAAAATATAATCTAAGTTGAGGGAATTGGAATCTACATGTATTGTGGCTTTAAATTGGGTAATTGCATATTACAGTTCATAGGCAGGCAAATAACATCAATATGCTAAAAGAAGGCATGAAGATTGAAGCAACTCATGTGAAGAAAAAGCAACTGCATTATTATTTGCCTGCTGAAATCTTACAGAAAAGAAAGAAGGTACGATGAAGTTTTGATCCTTCACATAATATTTGCATGTGTGCATATCTCTTTTTTAAAATATTATATCTTGTAACCTTTGTTTTCAGCAAAGCATACCAGACATTGGTCGAAACATTAGTGGACTTCCATCCAAAAGGGCTTCAGTGGATGTAAGCTCTTTGGATGGTTTCACGACCACAGACACAGGAACACGATATAGCTCCCCTTCTTTGTTAAACAGGATCTCTAAATTGGACAACAACTCTCTGATAGAAACAGAAAGGTTAGTAGTTTGTAAACTTGGATAATTCAAGGAGATTGTACACTTGTTACCAATTGATAGACTAGCTTTGTAACCTAAAATATGTGTAAGAGCATATACAATGCTTATTTAACAGGAACACTCTACTTCAGAGAACCAGTGCTGCTGCCAGTAGAGAGAAGCCATTGAATGTCACTGTGCCATCAGTGCCTGTTAAAGGACTGTCCATTCCAGTTATTGGTTCAAGTATGTATCCAAACATAGTGAAGAAAATGTAACCTTTAATTTTATGTAACTACATTTTAAAGGCTGTTTTCTTTGTGCAGAGACAGAGATTGCAGGTACAACAAAAGCAGTGCTACCTCCAACTGGATGCACCATACCTACAGTAGTAGGACGAAATGTGATTCCTCGAATTATTACACCTCCTTCTGCACAGGGACAACAGCTCCTAAATGGAATTTCAACTATAAACTCTAAAAATGCTGCACCTAAAAGACCTCATTCACCTTCCTCAGAAGAATGCACTAAAAGACTTAAAGATATAGAAAAGGTAAAAACACACTTGAATATGGAATCAAAGGGAGAAAGAGTTGGAGAGATGTGTATAGATAAACTTCAAAAGACTCTGCAGGTAATCTTATAACTTCAATTTCTAATACTGTCCTTTAAAAAGAAAATACTGGCTGCTAGAATTAGCGTAGTGTTTAATGTTCAAAGTTCGTGTATGTAGAATGCATTTTTCAGATCTGACATAACCATTTCATTCCAGCAATCCAGTGACTAAATCCTAAACTTTGATTATAGGCTCTTGGAAAGTTTGAAACAATTGCTATACCACACCTACCACTAGATGCTCTAGGAAGAGAGAAAAACTGTCTCATAGGAACAATGTCTAATCTGAAGCTCTATGAAACATTTTAAAATAAATAAATCTTTTCCAGGTTATTTATTTTTTAAACTAGGCTTGTGCCGTTTATTTGTTGCTTAGTGATTTATAAAGCAGGCCCAAAAGTTCCTATTGTTATGCTTATTTTAACCATAGAAATAGTCCAGAATTAACAATGCTGATATCTTTTTTGCTGAATGACCTAGATGCATATTGTTAGTGCCTTTCATTATAGGGGTGGTATTGAAATCTTGACCAAAGCCTGTCTCCAAAAGGTTCATTAGTCATTGAAGTTTGACTAAAGAGTCTAAATTTCTACTTCTTCTTTGAGTGATGATCCCTATTGTATTCCACTGTGGGTTATGCATGTGCACCATGCATCTGGAGCTGGAGAATTTGAAAATGTCTGTTGGTCTGCACATGCACTTTGACTCACCTGTGCTTCTGTCCGAGGAGATAGAGAGCAGGGCAGATTGATCACCTCTCCAGTTTCTTCTCACCGTTGCATGGTCCAGGTTGGAATCTTCAGTGTCTGCAGCTTTGGCTACATCCTACAAAATAAGAATTACCTAGTTTGTAAACAGCTTTAACAGCTTAGTGTTTTATAGATCAGTTTCCTGGGGAAAACCACCCCGTTTAGGTACAGGACTATGCCCAGGACTCCAGGCATCAAACGCCATGCTTCCTTCCCATGATCCTTCTCAGTCAGCGATGAACACCTCAGTCTATACTGCCTTGAGAAAGCCCACATCATGATGTGGGCTATCTGCCAATTGTACCCCAGCCATACCTGAGAAAGACAGGAGCTTCGTCTCCGCAAATACCTCATGGAGTAGGCCATGAGGCTCCAGTCACATCCACCTCTGAGGGAATTGACCATGGGAAGGAATTTATCACCCATCCCATACACAGAACACATCTCCCCTCCAACGGCACCAACAGTACCACCACTGGAACCGGAATCAGACTTCTCTTCAATCATCCCATGAACTTTTCTTCCCCTACCCATGTGTTCACCACCACCCAAGAGACCTGCACCAGTTTGGGACCAACCTCTCCCCCATCTAACTTGGAGCTGCTGGTACCCCATGCCATGGGGGCCCTCATGACCACCTACTAACCCTTCCTACTGGGGGGCCTTGGGACCAGTAGTCCCATGCAGAGTCTATCCGATGTGCCAGGGAGTCACCCTTTGCCTCCCCTCTAAGGGGACACTCTGATCTTCCCCCAGATCTGGCATAGGAGGAGGAGGGACATTATGCTACAGATCAGGTGGTTCCACTGGAACCAGTAAGACTGCCATCTTCATCCCTGGACGAAGCGGTGACTCCTACGTCTCCTTCCACCTCTCTCCCGCAATGACTTCAGGAAGTTCCAAGATAATCTCCACAGAGTTGCTGGAGAGTTTGATTCCTCTCCAGGAGATCCAGGACTCTCAGCACAAACTCTTAAACATCCTCTGTGCATCCAGACCCCAACATATTAGGTTCCCCCGCTAATGAAGCCATACTGGAGCCATTTAGTGCTCCTCTGCCACCTGCGCTCCTAACCTGAAATGGGCAGAAAAACGTTATTACATAGCAGCCAAAGGAACAGAATTTATTTTCTCACCCCACTCCCAATTCTGTGGTGGTCCATCCCATTCTGAAAAGGCCATGCAGAAGTCCAAATTAACATTGAGGACTTCAATGAATCACACCTCTTCAACCAGAAAACAGATGAGTCCCTCCATACCCTGAAGGACTCCAGGGCTACCCTTCGTTTCCTGGGGATATACACACCTGCTTCTAAGAGGAAGTTTCACCGCAGATCGGTCACACCTAGGCACATGGCTCAGCTGTTTTTTTCCAACAGAGGCCCTATGAACCATGTAAGAGACGGAGGGTTCAAAAGCCCTGCTTCCATACATCCTCTTCAACAAGCTCGGCATCTCAATATCAGCTCCTGGCTCAATGTTATTTTTGACCGGTGCTTGAGAGCCATGAAATGCTAAGCCCGACACCTCCTGACCCCACACACCATTTGGGGGTCTTTCTACGCTACTTCAACACTTGGACTGCTGCAATAATAACAGACAAGCGGGTGCTGAATGTCATCCACTCTGGCTATGATAGTATGCATCCCTACCGCCTTCAAAACCCCTGCCCGCCCCCTTTCGAAGCCACTCTGAGAGTATTCTCAAATGTGGTGAACTCCTTGCTGCAGCAAGGAGCAATAGAACTTGTCCCTGCTCAATACCAAGGGAGAGGGTTTCACTTGACTGACTTCCTGGTACTCAAAAAGAAGCTTGGTTGGAGACCACTCCTGTACCTTCCCCATCTCAACCACTTCATTTGAAAACTAGGATTTTGCATGGTCATGTTGGTGACCCTGCCAGCAGGTAGGGGATCTTGGGGGACAACTACTGCACTGGTGGGGTGTAAAATAAACTTTATTAAGAAAATGCAAAAACAGGGAAAACTTAATAGTGAGGGGTATGGGGTTTGTTAAGGTAGACAATTGGGGAGGGGTTTCTTTGAGTAAATAGGATAGGGGCTTTCAATAGTGGGGTACAATACAGTGGGGTACAATACAGTTGGTAACCAATTAACACTGAAGTATAAATGTAACAGGTAGCTAACAGTTTCTATGTAAAGGGTGTGTCACAGCAGCATATAACCAACTAACAGTTATGGGTAAAATGTGTTAAATAACCAACAACTCTAGGTAAAAATGTGTCACAGTGGTGCAAATGTAAAATGTGAGGGGTGTTAGAGAGAAAAAGGGGTAACCAATGGGGTTTTATGCTAGACTTCAGTAATACAATTGAGGTCTGGCAGCAGTAGGAGCAGGGTGAGCACGTGGGGGAAGGGATTAAGAGAGAGAGAGAGCAGACAGGCTGCAAGTTTAAACAGCAGAGACAATTATACAGAACACAGCAAAATCTTATCTATGATTTAACTTAACCAAGACTACACAAATTAGCAAGTAACAAAAAACAATGCAACAATTCTTTAAGCCTAACTTAGAGTACAATGCAAGCAATTTTCTAAACCTAACTTAACCACAACTATGCAAAATGAAATTACAATTTATCTAGACTAAAGGCTAAATCTAACCTAATGGGTGCACCTTATACTAGGGGTAGTTCCAGAGGGCAGAGTGGTGTGTGCCCAGGATACAGCTTCAAGGGGAGGGGGTGTTTAACTAGTGGTGGCTGCAAGCAGGCTTATTTCTAGCAGCAAAGGCGCTGCGGAGCTAGAAGCAGATTACAGATACAGACCAAGGAGTTAGCTTGGGTCTGCCTGCTGGGGAAAGAAAGCCAGCAGCTAGAACAAGGGGAGTGTGCAAGAGGTTTTTCCTTACCAATCCCCAAAGCAACAGCAGGAACAGCAGTTTCAGCATCAGAGGACGCAGAGAGGACTCGATTTGCTTACAATAATCAGATCTCCAGGCACAAATTCGTTGTTCGTGGGAGGGGAGTTTAAAAACGGGGGTATGCTCAAAAACAAACGAGAGCGGGGAGAGGGCCCCCCAAAGACCCCTAGCTGATCAGACCAGGTGGCAAAGCAAGGACTTTCTTTGGGGGTCTGATCAGAAAATGTCTGGTTTTAAGGGCAAACTCAGGCAGTTTCCCACCAGTAACTTTGATTGGTTCCCCTTAATCCAGGGGAGGAGAGAAGGCAGGGAAAACTGCAGGTAGGCACAGGACATGTCTGGGCAAGTTCTGAGTCACAGGTATGACGCAGATGCTCAGCTATGTGGCCACTTTAGGTCTTGCAGACCTGGGCAGAGCACCCTACACCGAGCCGGGTCCGAACAAAGAAGCTAGACAAAGGAGCAAAAAAGCCCCCACCTCCCTGAGCAGAGCAATGGCTCCAGTCAGTCTGCACAAGCCATTTCCATGAGCAGGGCCAGGCTGTGATTTTGGTCAGTTCCATGGCCGGGGGGGGCGGCCACTCAGCACAAACAGAAAGGAAGGGGAAAAAGGGAATCCAGCAGGGGGACAGCTGTAACAGACAGTTGGCAGATATAATTCCATCTTTAGAAAAGGGCATGTGGTTTATGGCACTCGATATGAAAGACACTTCCTTCCATGTAGACATTCATTCCACTCACAAATGCTTCCTCAGATTCCTGGTGGACTCTACCCATTTTCAGTACAGACTACTCCCCTTTGGAATAGCGACTGCCCCCAGAGCCTTTTACCAAGATATTCTCTGTAGTAGCAGCCCATGTCAGACATTGGTCTCATTGTTTTCTGCTACCTTGATGACTGGCTCATTGTTATCAAGTCCTGCAGGGAAACTTGTGTGTCAACTTCCATGATGCTACACCTGCTCTCCTCACTGGGAGTCAGTGTAAACACTGAAAAAGATGTTCTCACCCCCGACACGATCTCTGGATTTCATCCAGGCAACCTCGAATTGTATTACAGCAAGAGAGTACCTGCAGGACAGACTCCAGACCATGAGCGATATCCTAGTCTACATCACAAACAAGCCTCGAGTACTGGTCAAGTCATGTGTGTCTCTACTAGGTCATATGGTCTCATGCAACTACAGCACTCCACTTGCAAGAATCCACTTTCGTTGCCTTCAAATGCGGCAGTCGGTGTACTTCCCAAAATGTCAGTCAGTAACCCTCATGATGACCGTTCTGGCCAGTGTCTTCCCTGCTATGGTGGACAAATCCAAATCCTTGTCGGGTATGCATGGGTTCCTTTTTTCTTCCTTCCTCTCCAGACAGGACCATTACTACAGATGCATCCATGTTGGGTTGGGGAGCCCACATGAACAACCACACAGCTCACAGTACCTGGACATCTCGAGAGTCTAGCACCCTCATGATGTCATTGTCCTCCTTTTATATCTTCCCACTTGCTGGAAAGCTCTTTTGCTGTGACATGGGTCAAACAGTTCCCATTGTATAGTGCTATCTCTGAGAGGTTTCTATTGTACACAGTTCCTGGGGTAATCCTTGTACTTGTGTGCATTTCCTCAATAAGCCATTAACATTGTTTGGCCTTTTTACTGTTGTACCTGAAAAGCTGCTTGTGGGTGTTTTTAACCTCACAACATGTTTTAGTAACACATACATAGCCTAACTTCACACATGACAATAGCACACACAATCCAACAAGATATTAATGTCTAGCAGATCAAGACTTTTAGACTGATACCTCACAAGACATACTTTGTACAAAGTATATCCTAATTACATGACAGTGGTGACTATTGGGTAGGGTGACCATAGGGACAGTCCCAATATTTGGGGCATTTTCTTCTATAGGCGCTTATTACCCCCCACCCCCATCCTGATTTTTCACATTTGCTGTCTGGTCACCCTAATATTGGGGTGTCAGAAGGTTATCCTGATTGCCCTCTTCTGTTCCACAAAGTTCTGGTTTCCCAAACTCCTACACATGTTATCTTGACCACCAATCATCCTTCCAACATTTCCTGAGCTCCTGACCCAGTGGAATGGCAAGATCAGGCATCCTGATTCACGTCGGCTCCACATCAGGATTTGGTATTTGGATGGGCATTATAACATTCATGCTCCACAGGTGTAAGAGATCTCCTCTCTAATAATAGAAAGGACTCTACTAGAAAATGTTACCTAGCTAAATGGAAGCGCTTTTCTTGGGCATATCAAAGAAGCATTCTTCCAGAAACTAGATATTCCTCTGATCTTGGACTATATCCTATCTTTTGAAGACTTCAGGTTTGTCCATCAGCTCCTTGAGGGTCCACCTGGTGATAATCAGGGCATACCATCCACCTTCTTGGGGCTACCGGGTCTCCGCACATCCTCTGACCAATAGATTCTGGAAAGGCCTAATAAGAACCTTTCCAGCTATTCAGAAGCCTACTCCTCAGCAGTACCTTAAAACTTGTTCTCTCGGTACTCAGAGGCGCCCCCCCTCTTTGAACCTTTAGCTTCTTGCACCATGTCTCTCCTTTCCATGAAGGTCATTTTCCTTGTAGCCATCACCTCCGCTAGAAAAGTTGGCAAACTTGGAGCAATGATGGCAGATTCTCCGTACACTATATTCCATAAGGATAAGGTTTGTTTGTGTCTACACCCCAAATTCACCCCTAAAGTAGTTTTGGAATTTCATATTAGCCACATTGATTCACTTACCTGTGTTCTTCCCAAAACCACACACACTTCCGCAGAGGAACGAAAACTCCACTCCCTTTTACCTACACAGAACAAAACCAATCAAGAAATTCCTGAGACTATTCATCGCTACAGCAGAAAGTCAGAAATCTCCACCCAGAGAATTTCTAAATGGCTGCATTCAATTCTGTTGCTATCAAACCTTCTCCCCAATGATGGGATAAGAGTTCATTCTACCAGAGCACAAGCAACAACTATGGCATCTCTTAAGAAGGTACCCATCCTGGACACCTGTAAAGCGGGCACATGGGCCTCCATTGAGATGGTTGCAAGACATTTCGCCCTGGTGCAGGACTCTTCTGCTTATGCCTCCTTTAGGACCACAGTACTCCTCTCAGCCCACCGTCTACATACTTGCACCCTTTTCCTACTTAAGTACTGTTTGTCGATCAACCCCAGTGGAATACAATAGGGACCATCACTCAAAGAAGAAAAGGAGGTTATTGACCTGTAATTAGAGGTTCTTTTAGATGTGTGGTCACTATCTATATTCCACTACCTGTCCTCCTTCCCCTCTGCTTTGGATCTTATCTGATTCGCTGTAGAGAAGGAACTGAAGAGGCAATTGGTCCACCCAACCCTGTATCCCTTCAGATGGAGACAATGAGGTGAGCCAGGCTGCATGTGTGCACCAACGGACACTATTTTTCTCTGGCTCTGGACGTATGGTGCGCAGGCACCACCCAGATAATGACTACATATCTCAAGAACTTCCAGTTACAGGTAAGTAACCTCCACTTTCAATTGCTCAGCTTTCACCAACTTTTGAGATGCTGTCATTTAACTAGTTCCTAAGTCAAGTTTCTAAGCAAAACATTAATTTTCATGACAAAAGAATAAAGCCTGAAAGGTATTTTTTGATAATTTGACATAGAAAAAGCCAAGCCAAATGTTTTGCTGGTCATCTTTCAAAAATTAAAACCTCATTGGTCTAAGCAGCCGTTATGTAAAGAAGTATTCAATTTGTGCAGTCTAGTTGCATAAACCCACACTTGTCTACTCCATAATTGCTATCAAGTATCTTAAATATGGATTATAGAATTAATTATGGAAGCATTAATATGTATCTTGGCTGAAGTAAATAATTCCTTCCCCACCACTTCTAGTAGGTCTAGGTATAGGTGTAGGTATAGGTGTTGGCAGTACTATAGCAAAATATAGATGAAACTGATTGTTAAGAAGGTTCATCAGCTGCTCAGATTAGCTAAAATTCTGTGGAGTGTGAGGTCTGGTTAATCTGTGAAATTTGCACTGACAAGTAGCAGACCAAGAAAACTATGGAATCTTCCCTACAAAATGTTAATGATTAAACCACAAAGATGGGTTAAAATGGTAGAAAATTGAGTTCATTTGTCCAATGTTACACAGTTGACAGATGCAGTATGTGCCTTCTGATATACTTATAAAAGGGGTAATACACTGGAGAAAATGGCTGTAGGATGTCATCCTACTATGATTAATCTTCCCTGTAGTATTTTTTTGTATAGTATCTCAGGTGCAGGTGGCCTTTAGGAGCAGACGCTTAACCTGCTGGACAGGTTATCAGCAGCTGACATTGACAGAGCACTAAGTTGTTTTGATCAATTCCATTTCCCGGGAAAAAACATAGCTTTTGCTAATTTTACTTCCATTTTTGTGGAAAGGCAAGAAAGAGCTGGAAAACACTAAATTTTTGGAATTTGTTTATACATTTCCAAAAATTTAAACTTTTAATTCTCAACTAATTGAAAGTTCCTATTGGGCCTCAGAACAGGCCAACTCCTCTGGTTCTTGCTTGTGTTTTGTAGTCAAACAGCAATGCTTTCTTCAATAAGGACTGTTCGTGCTAGGTCAAGTTCAGCCTCAATATGCTCTCTCAACTCCTGCTGATTTGAATGAAAGTTGTACTTGTATCTGAGGGTAGTTTGGTCCATGAGCTCTAACCATATAAATGGCTTTGATACTATGTATCCTGTTCTAGTAAATTGGACTGGATTCAGCATTCAAAGATTGTAGCATCCAAGATGATATAAAGAGAAAATCTACAGGGAAAAAAATATAATTTGAGGCATTCATCTTAACTTTTTTTAATCCTGAATAAACTGCTTTAACTCTAACTAATTAAGTGAAATTCTTTAACTATTCCACTTAATGACATGACTAAGAATAAATTTCAGTTAAAATCAATTAGACAGAAAAACTTTTTTGTATTACTTACAGCTCTTATCAAGCTTTATCCATTTTCCTGTTTCTCCACACATCACACCCAGAAATTATTTGCTGGGAAGCCAAAGTGTAACCTGGTTTAGTTCTCTCAGAGCATCTGAATTATTTGTAGACCTAAAACTAGAACTGGGTGAAATGTTTTGGACAGATAGCTTATTGGATGAAAAATTCAGTTTTGGTCAACTCTAAACTATTTGAATTTTGACACTAATTTGCCCAATGATTTCAGCCAAATTTTTTTAGCTTAGGCACCATTCACAAAATGGTGGGAGGAGGTGGTGCCTTTTTATATGACCATGTTGCATTATACCACTGGGCTATGGAATATTATGGGGGACAGGTCTCTCAATTTCTTAGTCATTGGAGCAGGGACTTGAACTTGTCTTCCCCTTCCAGATGAGTACCCTAATCACCTGGCTATAGTCTCTCTCTCTCAGTGACTATTCAAATATTTTTGTATACCAAGAGGAACAGGTTCAATAGGAGCGATTGAGACACCCAGCCCAGATCATGCTATGGTCCGGTCATTTGGGCACTTTCCTACAATGTGGGAAACTCAAGTCGGGAGTGGGGGAAATCAAACCCCAGTCTCCCACATACTAGCTGAGTGCCCTGACCAGTGGGATAAAAGGTATAAGGGAGGTACAACCATTACCTCTGGCTATCTTGAGAATCCTTTCCTTTGCTGCTTTATTTTAAAAGTGCCATGAAATTAAATATTTTTGTTTTGGATCAAATTAAACATTTTGTTTGACCTAAAGTTTTTATTGACTTTTTCAGTTTGGCAAAAACTTTTTTGAATTTGGATTGACCCAAATCAAATATTTTTTTTCAGAACTGCCAGTAAACCAAAAAAGCAGTTACTTGCTCAGCTCTTCTAACTCTTCTATAACAAACAAATTTAAATCTTGCCTCCTTCAAACATAAAAATTTTCTATCAACTTCTTTAAAGAAAAGGCAGCCAACCTATAGGCAGAAGCTGGGCACTGCTTAGGTAAGTTCAGAGCCTGGATTTATATGTAAAATAGCCATGTCAAATGAACAGTCTGTTTTATGTAAATTCAAATTTTGAGCAATTTTAAAAAGACTCTCACTTCCCCTTTCCTTTGAAAAAGGTCTGAATATGTAACAAAAGTCTAGCTAAAAAGTATTATCTTGAGCGGGCACACCCTGTGATTCATCTCTTTGGATACATACATAGGCCCTCCTTTACAGAAGAATAAAATGACCCAAAATACCTTCCACATAAAGAATAGATGTCATGAGACTTTTAAAGTTTCATAAATGCTTTCTTGCTAGTTGGAACCAGAAATATAGATACAGCAGGCATTTAATAAGCATTTGTTTGTTAGCTGATATTTGTGCTTTTCATATAAAGGAACCTAATTGCAATGCATTCAGTACACTATTCTTATATACTTTTGGGTTTTTAGGATAGCCTTGGAGGAGGGGAATCCATGCCTATTCCAACTATTGACACATCAAGATCACAGGTACTGTCTACTGAGTCTTTTGCTTTATCAGTGAACGTAAACTAGTGAATATTTCCTGCATACATTAAGGTAATATTTGTTTACACACACTAGCTATTTGACAGTGTCAAGTACTTTTCTGTTGATTTACTATAATTCTTTAACTCTTGTGGCAACATATGGTAACTGTAATTCTCACTTACACACTGTGCAGTGGTATTTTGGAGAGCTGCTTTAGCAGCTCTCAAACAGACAGAAGCCCCAAACTGCCATGCTTACTTTAAAAGGTTTAGGCATCCAGCCAAAGATTGAAAAACACTTCATTTGCACACACAAGCATCTGTCTCCTACCATCTCAGGCATTCAAACTTCACAACCCCTTCAAAAAACTAGACAAAGCCCCTTTCTTTCCAAACTGCCTTCTTAGGCCTGGTCTACTCTTGGGGGGCGGGGAGGGGAAATCGATCTAAGTTACGCAACTTCAGCTAGGTGACTAATGTAGCTGAAGTTGACGTACTTATACCAAGACAGTGCGGTGAATCGACTGCTGCTACTCCCCCGTTGACTCTGCCTGCAGCTCTCGCGGTGGTGGAGTACAGGAGTCGATGGGAGAGCGCTTGGGGGTCGATTTATCACGTCTAGACTAGATGCGATAAATCGACCCCCGCTGAATCGATCGCTGCCCGCCGATCCGGCGGGTAGTGTAGACATACCCTTAGTGTCACTGGAATCTATCCTCTGCCTCAATCACATTCTTCATTGAGTGCTCTGAGCTGTTAATCAACCTCCATATCACATGCAGGACTTCAGTGCCAAAAACTGGATATGCTCAAAAACATCAGCAAATTATAGCAATTACACTTCAGATTTTGAAACTTAATTTTTTCATGCTCTCTTGATCTAAAGCTAGGCCAATCAAGATATACAGTCTGAAATTTAATATTAAGACTCTTACCCCACTCCTTTTTTTTTTTTTAACTCAACCAGCAGAGTTTGGACTCCCTGTAGGATTGCCAACTTTTTAATCGTTCAAAACCGAACACCCTTGCCGCGTCCCTCCCCTGAGGGCCCTGTCCTGCCCTATCTCCAAGGCCCTGCCCCCACTCACTCCATCTCCCCTCCCTCTGTAGCTCATCCTCACTCGCTCGTTTTCACTGGGCTGAGGTTGGGGTGTGGGAGGGGGTGTGGCCCTGGGGTGGGGCCAGAAATGAGGGGTTCAGAGTGCAGAAGGGGGTTCCAGGCTGGGGTCAAGGGGTTCAGAGTGTGTGGGGGGTTCTGATCTGGAGCCGAGGCGGTTGGGGAACAGGAGGAGGTGCAGGCTCCAGGAGGGAGTATGGGTGCAGGAGGAGGCTCAGGGCTGGGGCAAGGGATTGAGGTGTGAGATGTGAGCTCTGGGAGGGAGTAGGGTGCAGGAGGGGTCTCAAGGCTGGGGCAGGGGCTGGGGTGTGGGAGGGGGTGAGTGGTGTAAGCTCAGGGTGGTGCTTACCTCAGGCAGCCGCCCTGCCTTCGCCCATAGGCACTGCCCCTGCAGCTCCCATTGGCCACAGTTCCCAGCCAATGGGAGCTGCGGAGCCGGCACTCGGGGCGGGGGCAACACGTGGAGCCCCCAGGCCATTCCTCCACTTAAGAGCCGAGGGACATGTCACCACTTCTGGGAAGCCATGCAGAGCCAGGTAGGGAGCCTGCCGGCCCCAGAGCAGCCAGGGTCCCTTTTTGACTGGACACCTGGCAACCCTAGCAACATGCTGGTTTGCCTAATTCAGTTGAACTCTTGAGGGAAGACTGTGCAGGACAGGGGAATGTCCCTTCCCCTACACTATTGTAGTGAATAAATGCCATCACAGTGAGAAGCAGACACTTCGCCTGCAAGTGTCTAACTTCTAGTAGAGAATTGGCAGATAATCACTATGGTGGGGGGAATAGCATATTCTAGACCTCTTGGTTTGGTGTGGTAGGTCATGAAGTTAATCTGTAGGTCTTGTTTATAGCTGAAACAGTTTCACTTTCTACCCAACTTCTGTTCACATTATGCATATTTAAAAATATTTTCCCCTTCCCCGCTTGGTTTCTATTTTTCTATTGTAGAGACTTGCCAGTAAAGAACTACCAGATTCATCTTCTCCTGTTCCAACAAATAACATTCGTGTCATTAAACATTCCATCAGATTGACCCTTAACCGGTAACTACAGTGCCTTTTCAGGTAAAGATAATATGCACTTGTTTAGTCGTTTACACAAGCAATTAACTTTTATACTGCAGTTGCTGTCCCACATAAAATATGGAGTTACTGTCACCGAATTGGAGATATTTTTCCAGTTATTAATTTTTGTCTGCATTTTGACCTGCAGATGCTGTAGGATACTTCCATTACTGTATAGCTTTTCCAAGATCGCCTGCTGACAAGCCACTGTCGACAAAATCATGGCTTTTGTCTTTTTTTAATTGCCTTTAGTTTAAATATTTGCTACTTCTGACTGATCTACTTCTCATTTTGAACCCCCTTCCAACAGCAGTCCTTGTTTTTTTTTAAATTCTTGTGTTATTGTCTTGAGCTGAAAAAAATTGTTCTGAAAAATACAAAAAAATGTCCTGTGATACCATTTTTCTGAATGTATGTAAACATGTTTACTTCAGTCACTGGAGCCACATTCTGGTTAGAAGTGTGTGTGTGTGTGTGTGTGTATGAAAGTCTTAGTATTGTTTCTGCTTTCCTAATGGTGTAGATATACATTATTTTGTGAACTTCAATTATTTTTTCTGGTTTAGCACACACTCTTTTCTACATCTGTCACGCTGGTGCTCAGCATCTATAGGCAATAGCTTTACGGTATTTAGCACGTAGCCAGGCACTACCCAAGTTTTACAGACTGCCTCCCATGGAGGCCCAAGAAATCAATCCTTAATTTAAAAATAAAAATTCAACCATTAAGGATATCTGCCAAGATACTGAAATGGTAGGAATGTCTTATGCTATGGAATCTGATTCTTGTAAATCTTGTTCTGAAACAGGCTTAGGACCTCTTCCAGTTTTCACTGGTTAATTAAACAAATTTCCCCACAGTAACAAATTTGTTACCCAAAATACTTAAGACTTAGCTAAATATTGAGACTAGGAAAAACCTGTTGTGATATTACGATCTACTCATTTTGCAGTTATGCAGAACAATTCTTCACTGATTAGGCATGCAGAAACAGATATTGGTTTCAATAAAACGCCTGAAAACATTTCCTTTTGAATAACAATGGTTACGGAACTCTGGCTTAGGACCATTGCAGTCTTCATGTAGAGTGAAGTTCCAGGGGGGAAATGCATCTTCTACAAAGCAAATCCTAGACTACGTAATTTCTCTTGTAATTTATTTAATTCAATGTTTTGTAAATGAAGTCGTATGTATTTTCAGAGTATTTTTGTATGTACTGTAAGATAACATCTTTTCAAAAAGAAAAGTTTAAAAACTTTACAGTTTCTTCTTCAGTTTACTTTTTTACATAGGTCAAATCTTCTAAAAGCCCTTAACATAAAAGCATTTTGAAGAACATAGGAATATATACAATACCTCTGCTTTGAATAGAATTCTAATTTGCAGATACTCCTTAATGGTAGTTTTCCCTCAGTACCACAGCTTTCATGTGTCAGCTGTATGAGACAACCAGGAACGCTAATAGTTTTGAGACAAATACTAAATAAAATCTTACCATGCAGTGTGTGCCTTCATTAGAAAGTAGTAACATCTGGTGCAGCTTGCTAAAGCATATACAGTAAAAGCTTTGTTATCTGGCATGTTGGGGGAAATAGGGGATGCCGGTAAGTCAAAAATTCCGGTTAACTAAGAGGGAGGGAGTTTGGGTGTGGGAGGGGGTTATGGGAGGGAGCTTGGGCTCAGGAGGGGGCTTGGGGCATGTGAGGTGGTGCGGGGTGCCGGATCCAGGTGGTGCTCACCTCTTGGCAGCTCCCCAAAAGCGGCAACACATCTCTGCTGCCTCATAGGCAGAGGCATGGCTAGGCGGCTCTGCGCACTGCCTCTGCCTGCAGGCACTGCCCCCATTGCTACCATTGGCCATGGTTCCTGGCCAATGGGAGCTGGGGAGCCAGTGCTCAGGGAAGGGCAGGGACAGCACGCAGAGCTGCCTAGCTGCACCTCTGCCTAGGAGCAGCAGGGACATGTTGCTGCTTGCGGGGAGTCGCCAGAAGTTAGCACCGCCTGTATCCCGCACCGCAAAACCTCTCCCGTGCCACAACTTCCTGCCCTGAGACTCCTCCCACACCCAAACTCCCTCCTAGAGCCTGTGACCTACACCCCCTTCTGCACTCCAAACCCCTTGTGGTCAGTCCTCCACCTAGCAGCAGCAGGGAGCCAGATAGGGAGCCTGCTGGCCCCATGCCAACCAGACTATAAACCGGACTTTCAATGAAGATCAGAAATGCCAGTTTATAGAGCTTTCCAGTTGGTAAAGTGCCAGATAACACCGCTTTCTTGTACTACAATCCCCACATTTTGCATCTGACAGCTGAGTTGATGGCTGAGGTACCAGTTCAGCATCCTGATAATAGTGTACCTGGATTTTTTTTTTTTTCAAGAATAAGAGTTGCTTGAAATAGATCACAGCTCTAAACTTCAATTCATCTCATTTTAAAATAACTAAGACATAAGGGATGGGAGCAAGGGAGAGAAATACATGTCTTGCCAGGCCTTCCTCCTCTTTCCATATCTGTGTGGAGATAAGGTAACTAATGGTCAGCATAGAAAACTTTCATGATGTCTCTTTTTTGGCATGATTTACTTAAAGCTCTCACCTATAGATTTGGTTCTCAAGTGTGCCTTATTGTGCAGGTCTGATCTGAGAAATTACTGTAAAAATGACATTGGGATTCCATATTTGTCTCAAAGGCTACTTAATCAGTTGTGTCCTTTTCAACTGCAAGCTCTCCCTGGTATCTGAATCTAAGTTGTTTGTTTGGGGGTGGGTTGTCTCCTCTCCCCCCCCGCCCCTCACCCTCCGGCCCACTCATCGATGCAATGTGACGTTCACACGTCATAGTAGGTTTGCAGGGCTCTGTTTAAGAAAAGTTGAAATGGGAATTTAATGTGGAAAGAGAAACAGACTCATGCCATTTTAGTGGCTTCTCGGAATAAAACTACACTTTAAAATTTATAAATGTGGCTACCACTCATTTTTGTAATGCTATAATTTAAATAGCCTGATTTAAATTGTCAGATCTTTGTATGAAAACTATAGCATGTATATAAATTACAATCAAACCTAAACATCTGTATATTGTATCTAAAGATTCATGAATTTAAAGATATTAGAGAACTGATTTAAAGGTGATCAAAGTGACAAACTGCAAAACAAATATTTAAAACTAGTCTTGTTTTTAATATCTACCAACCAGCTGTGCCATACCAGAACACAATCCAGACTAGTGGTGGACTGTCACCTATGCCTCGCAACCTTGGGTGCCTTACAATGCCTCGCTGTAGTAGCTCCTACCTCAGCTGCTCACAAACAGCCTTGCAGCATGCAAGCCACACCCTAAGTGGCTGTGTGTAACTGCAGCCTGCCAGCTCCACCCTGGTTCTCACCAGCCTACATTATACTACATGGTGACCCCAACATACCACCAGTCCCAGATCATCCCTCCAGAAATGTTATGTCCTATACTTCCCAGCTGTCTCCTGAACAGTACAAATATATTGTCAGTTATTCTTTTGAGGGACTAATATGCCAGTTTATTACCATAAAAAGTTACCCAGACAGTTCCATTTAAACACATTGGCTGAGATAATACAGTAAAACAAGTTTATTAAGTACAAAAAGCGATTTTAACTGAGTATAAATAATGAGGCAGAAAAGTCAGAACTGGTTACAAGAAAAATAAAAACAAAAGGCTTACTAGTATCGCCTTAAGAAACTATCTTAGTTGTAAAGCAGACTTTGTCACCATGTTTCCAGTAAGCGTACTGACCAAACTCTTCAGGTCAGGACTCCTCCCCCAAAGTCCAATGGCTGTTTACTTTTGTCTTCTTGGGTGGAGAATGAGGTGGGCAGAGAGAGAAAGAGAGATGCCTTGGCATGTTGGTCCCTCTCTTTTATAGCTTCTCTCCCTTTTGAAAAACATTTCCAGCTGAGAACCAGGAGACAGTGTCTTTTGTGGAAGGATATTCCCTGCTGGCTTTTTCCCCTGTTTGAATTTCCTTTGTTTTCCCTTCCTGGCTGATGACTGTTTACTGGTTAAATGCAAAATTAAAAAACACACACATTCCTTCTTTTGTTTAGGGTAGATCTGACTTCTGCCTAGACTGTGCTGGGGCGGGGAGGGGGGGCGATTGGAATATGTGTTGGTAACATAATATAGGGGAATCTTTTAACTTCATGTACAGTGTTGCCACACATTTTACCAGAACAATACTGACCAGCAAATTATGAGTTTGCAAATGGTACCTTACAAGGCACTTTGTAATAGTGTGTAGGGTGTGAATACAGGGGTGTATTCCATCACACCAGCATGTAGAAAAATAACAAATATGTCAATGTAAAAGGAGAGTTTTCCTATGAAGTCTTGATATCTTGAATGAGGCAGGAGCCATCTCTAATGGTGTCATGCAGGGGGTTAGTACTGGATCCAGTACTGGACTTGGATAATGGAGGGGAGAGTATGCTCATAAAATTTGTGGATGATATCAAGCTGGGAGGGGTTGCATGCACTTTAGAGGTCAGGATTAGAATTCAAAATGACCTCAACTAATTAGAGAATTGATCTGAAACCATCAAGATTAAATTCATTAAAAACAAGTGCAAAGAACTACACATAGGAAGGAAAAAATCAAATGCACAACTACACAATAGCTAAGCAGCAGTTCTGCAACAAAGGAACTGGGAATTGCAGTGGATGAGAAGCTGGATGAGAGTCAGCAGTGTGCCCTTGTTGCCAAGAAGGCGAACGGCATATTGGGCTGTATTAGCAGGAGCACTGCCAGCAGATCGATGGAAGTGATTATTCCCCTCTACTCAGCACTGGTGGGGTTACATCTGGAGTATTGTGTCCAGTTTTGGGCCCCCCACTACAGAAAGGATGTGGACAAATTGGAGAGAGTCCAGTGGAGAGCAACGAAAATGATCAGGGTGCTGGGGCACATGACTTATGAGATGGTAAGGGAACTGGGCTTGTTTAGTCTGCAGA